ATATATGTATGTATATGTTTTCTCAGTGTTATTTTCTTCCGTACTATTTCATGCTTTGTTGTATGACTTTTCCTGGAGTGATGTAAATAAACATGTATTCACCCCAGAAAGGGCATCAATGATAGACCAAGGAAACAATTCCACTCAGGTCTAGCTTGAGAGCCAGTAAATTTACAAGGGCTAGTAACAGCAGTGTGGATGAGGAGTTGACCATCAGCAACACAGACAGCTCAAAGGCAGGTGCACCAAAGAAAAACTCATTCTAACATGGATGATGACTCACAAAAACTGCATCCCTGGAGCTCGCTGCAGGATTTAGAAGGCAGTTCCACAGGTCAGATAATCTTTGGGGAACCTACTGTTTAGACAGCCTTTGGGGAGGGGACATTGTGAATCCTTTAAGTTTCAGGGCCTTCCTGAGACCTGGGAGTTGTTTATCTTCTTGACTTTGGTTCTCTAGCAAAGAACGTTTGAATTCAGAGGAGACTGATATACAATGTATCTATTTCCAAACAAGTAGCTTGAGAATATAAGAAATGGAATGAGCTGTCTTTTTGCAGTTACAGGTGTGTTTGACATGTTCACTGGCCGACTTCTAGCCTATTCTACTTTTTTTAAGCTCTATTTTCATTTTATACATACAGGTATATGTGTATATGTTTTTGTCTGCTTATGTCTGTGTATATTGTCCTCAGAGGCCAGAAGAGGGTTGTATCCCCTGCAATTAGTTACAGACTGGGAGCTGTGTTGTGAGCTACCACCTGAGTGGTGAAAATAAAACCTAGGTCCTCTGCAAGAGCAGCAAGTGCTGTCAGCTGCTGGGCCATCTCTCCGGTCCCTTCTAGTCTCTCTTTATTCTCTGAATGCCTTATGTGTGTTTACAAAGCATGGTCCTATTTCTCTTTGTTCTAAATCATCTCAACATTTCTGTACTTCACTGCTCTACCTCTTCTTCTTCTTCTTCTTTTTTTTTTTTTTAAGATTTATTTATACAACCTTCTGCCTTTATACAAGATCTTACTATAGATGGTTGTGAGCTACCATGTGGTTGCCGGGAATTGAACTCAGGCCCTTTGAAAGAACAGCGACAGTTAAGAACAGTTCTTAACCTCTGAGTCATCTCTACAGCACTGCTCTACTTCTTAAGGACTTGGGTGCTGGCTGAGTAGCTATAATTTGAGTGAAAAGCACCTCTGTTCCCAAAATCTTATTTCTCAAGGATCTGACGCCATTTAGATGACAGAAATTTGGCAAAGCAGGTAGGGAGGGGAGAATTGTTCTCAAGATACCAGTTTAGCAAGTTAAAAAAAATTAATAAACCAAATATTTATGTGCTTACGTTTGAAAAGAAAAGTTAACTGTTGCTCCATAGGTTAGCCCAGAGACACTGGGTTTTCCTTCAAGCTGTCATGGTCATGTGGACAGGATCAGGCTTGATCTGTTTGTTACTGCCAGTAGGAGATCCCTGACTTAAGTGGGACTCTAATTCTACACATAGAGCTGGTAGACAGGCGGGCTCCCACTTTGGTGGTGAAAACAGTAATATAAGGAGATGTCTGGGTTTCCATCCCCAGCCCCATGAGCTCCTGGCCAATAGCTTATTGGCACTGTATGAATTAGTTGAGAAATAATTACTACCTATTAAGCAGTTACTATGCTAGGCATTCTGTCAAGTGCTTCCATTTAATGCTCAGAAAGACATCATGACTGTTAGTATTGTCATCTTACAAAGGAGAGATGCAAGGCCTAGTAGAAATGAGTAATTGGCGTGACATTAGTGGTTACATCCACGACTTGTAGAGCTTTGTCTGTCCCACCCGAGTCTCCTAGTCTCATGCAAGCCACCTCACATGGCAATCGCAAGACTAATAATTAACCCTTTCTTTTGCTGGACATCTGAAGGTCGGATGGGTTACTGCAGCTCTTCTGGAGTCACCCTTGAAATTTCAGCTAAGGTTCTCATTCTTGCTGTGTCTGCTCAAACCGCCACAGTCGGATCCAGAAATACTGGCTAAGTGTGAGCCAGCAGTGTTTGTGTCGGCATGGGAAGGACACAGGCTCATTAAGTTGGAATATATGCCCTTCCTTGAATGGATTATTCAAGACTAGCTACCTAGTAAGAGAGATCATGGGAGCTTGTGGTATACAACACTCAGAAACCTTAAAAAGAAAATATCGATGATGAGGTTTTGATTTTGATAAGGAACATATATTTGGTTACTCTGACTTACAATGTGAATAAAGTCGTAATGATGGCTCATTGGGTAAAGGTGTCTGCTGTGAAATCCTGATGACCTGAATTTGATCCCAGGAACCTACGGTGGAAGGAGAGAACCAACTCTGAAGGTTGTCTTCTAACCTCCACGTGTGTGCTGTGGCGTGTAGCTGCCTACACCTACATGCCTCCCGACACATACACAACAGTGTTGGTAAGTAACACAGGCTTAGACAGGCTATCGTGGTCCTGTTGGTCAGTTTTTCCTCTCCATGACGAAGCACCTGAGAAAGCAATGTAAGGGTGGCTTTAATTTCGCCTCATGCTTTCAGGTCAGGGTCACTTGGTGGCTCCTGTTGTGAGTGAGGAAGGTGAGGCATAACTAATACCACAGCAGGGATTATGCGTTGGAACAAAGAAACTCACCTCCAGGTAGACTGGTGGTGATGGAGACAGACAGAGGAAGAGGCTGGGGCCTACAGAGACACACTTTGAGACCCTGCCCCTGGCAGCCCACTTCCTCCAATCTGTCTTCACCTTCCAGTTTTTACCATCCCCCAGTCACAAGTCAGTCAATGCATTACTTGACTGCTTAGGTCATTGGGTCTAGTGATTAGCTCCTTTTGATCCAAACACTTGCCACAAGTCTATCAGAGGTCACGGAATGAGCTTTGGGGAACTTTTTTGACTCAAGTCATCACATGATCAAAGCTGTTTTTTTTTGTTTTTTGAGGCAGGGTTTCTCTGTGTAGCTACAGCTGTCCTGGACTTGCTTTGTAGACCAGGTTGGCTTCATATTTACCGCAGTCTGGCTGCCTCTGCCTCCCTGAGTGCTGGGTTTAAATGCCAGCTTTTCCGAAGGAACTTCTAACCACCATTACATGGGCAGTAGGTGGTAAAGCATTGGGCCTTTTTAGGTTGCTCTGACTCTGAAGCAGACATCTTCATCATTCCATCCATTTTTAGGTGCTTCATTTAAAGTTCAAAGGCCAAGTCATAGACTGGTTGCAATTGACTTTAGACATCATCTGACCTGGGGTTTCTTAATCTCTGAACTATTGACATTCTGGTTTGGACAACTCTCTCTTGCAGGGACTGTTCTGCGCATGGTAGAGTTTTGAACAACATTCCCAGCCTCTATTCACTGGAGGCCAACAGCAGCTTTCATTTGTGAAAAATAAAATTTATCAAGTGATGTTGGAAGGGTAAGAAACCTTCCCTAGTTGGGAACAACTGACCCAAACGATTATTTTACAGATACTGCAGTTGGGATCCAAACAGAAAAAATTAGTTTGTTTAAAGCAGCAAGCAAGCAGGACCAAGACAGGAGTAGAGAGTAGAGGCTTTCTCTGACTTTGTTGCCTGCGTCTGGATCCCTTTTCAAGCTGGGCTTCCTTGTTGGGTCTCAGTGGGAGAATGTGCTATGCTTATTCTTGCTGTGACTTGAGGTGCCAGGGTGGGCTGATATCTCTTAGGGGCCTCCCCTTCTCTCAGGAGGAGAGGATAGAATGGGGGGCTGTGTGAGGGCAGGGCTGGGAGGAGGGAGGAGCTTTTGATCAGACTGCAAACTGGTTAAGTAAAATAAAATAAATTGAAAAAAAAAAAAGGACTAATAAAATCTCAATAACAACAACAAAAATAAAGTAGCACCCAAGGAAAGGCTAAAAGTTAGGCTATTGTGAATCATCCCCTTACAATGTACCCATCACAGCATAGGACCCTGAGAGGAAGAACCAGTTTCCATTTACAATCAGGCAGAGAAAACCTCCTGGACAGACCAGACCCAACTGCAAGAAGCTGATAAGCAATGAAGGGCTACTCAAGCAGCAAGGAGTTAAAACAAGGGAATGGGATCTGACTGGCCACATTTTCTGCTTCAGGACTTGAGCAAATTTAGGTTCATGCATTGGATTGAAAGCAAGTTTTCAACTGTCAGCCTCAAAAAGGTTTTCCGTGAATGCATAAAACTCTTAAAAACATCAAGCATTGTCATCATTATTAATTATTACTACTTTTGGTTATTTATTTTTTTTTTTCGAGACAGGGTTTGTCTGTGTAGCCCTGGCTGTTCTGGAACTATGTAGACCAGGCTGGCCTCAAACTCCTGCTACCCAAGTGCTGGGATTAAAGGTGTGTGCCATCACTCCCAGTAACATCAGGAGTTATTAACAGGGATGCGATTATTCTATTCATAGCAGAATTTCTCAGAAAAGTATGTATGGGAGCCTTCATTCCCGACTTTCCAGTTCTTCTTGGGCAAAGAGGCCCTCCTCTCGCACAGTGCCCCTCTACTCCTCTTCCTCCCCTTCCCCCAAATCCCAGGCAGCCAGATGAGAGGGATCAGGTCACCACGTCGCAGTAGCGCTGCTAGCCGGAGCTGCAACCCCGTACTCCGACCCTCCAAGCTCCGCCCACCGGCCACCGCCCTAAAAAGGCGGACCCTTTCCTCTCTGAGAGTCCCCGAGCATCCCGGAGATTCCCGAGCTTTTCCGATCCCTTCCCGGCCTCCCGCGGGCGGCCCGCGCGGAGGCGGCGAAGATTGCCGAGGGGCGTAGCCACGCCCCCTAGGCACAGCCTCCTCTCGCGCGGGCGGCCCGAGTCCCACACCTCCAGGTCCTTCCTTCCCTCCCTCCTTTCTCTCTCTCTCTCTCTCCCCGCCTTCCCGGCGCTGCCACAGTGGCGGGACAGAGAATCCCGACCAGTCAGCTCGCTGCGGCCTCGCGCTCCTCCTCCTCCTAAATAAACAGCCCTCCCCACGCTGGGAGCCCGGGCCGCCCCCTTCCTCGCGCAGCCGGCGAGTGGCGAGGGAGCGCGGGACCGAAGGGCCAAGGGACGGAGGGAGCGGCGCACGCGCGTGCGTGCGTGCGGGCGAGCGAGCGGCCGGCGCGAAGCCCGAGCAGGAGCCGGAGCCGGAGCCGGAGCCGGAGCCGAAGCCATAACCCGAGCCGGAGCGGTCGTGAAGCCGGAGTCGAAGTCAAAACCGGGCTCCGGGCCGGCGCGCACGCACTCACGCACGCGGGGGGCGGGGCCGGCGCGCGCCCGCTTGTCGCGACAGTCGGGGCCGAGGCCCAGGGGGAGGTGGCCTGTCGCGGGTCGCCCGGCTCCCGGAGGCGAAGGGGGCGCGGGCGGATGGCGGAAGGTGGCCAGCCGCAGCAGCAGCCGCCACAGCTCGGGCCCGGCGCCGCCGCCCGGGGCATGAAGCGGGAGTCGGAGCTGGAGCTGCCGGTGCCCGGAGCGGGGGCAGACGGACCCGAGCCCGGCCTGAGCAAGCGGCCGCGCACCGAGGAGGCGGCCGACGGCGGGATGCAGGTGACCGCGCGGGACGGGCGCCCGGTTACGGCGGGCCGCAGCGCGCTCGGGCCTCGGGGCGCCGGGTGGGCCTGGCTGGAGAGTGGGCTTGGGGCCCGGTGCAGGGGCTGGGCTCCTAAGGGGCCCCGGAGGCAGCGCGAGGGGATGGGATTTCCTTTTTGGAGTTGGGGAAATTGAACAGGGATGGGATGCAGTCCATTTCTTAAAGCCCGTCCTTAGTTCCTTGAGAAGTTGGGGGTCTCTTGGGTCTGTTTGTCCGGAGGAGAGCTGTTGGGCCGAGCCGAGAGCGAGGGAATCTGGTGGAAAGCTCCCGAGAAGAGGGGGCGCCTTGTGGTTTACCCTGGGCGCACACTGGGATGGGGAAAGGGGAGCGGCATGTGGAGGACAGATTGAAAAGCTAGCCAACTCTTGGAGAGAGCCCGAAAGGGGATGTGGCTTAGCTTGTGGGTTCAGTCAATTACACAAGGAGTGTTGAGAAGTCCGCGGAGTTTGGTAGTGTGATGCTCAGTCTCAGTTTTGTGCGGCGTGTCATTAAGTCTGGAGAGAGACATGTCTCTTCTGTGCTTTACCCATTGCGGAGTTGCTCCTTAGTGTCCTGGGGTAGAAAAGAAAAAAAAAATATAGGGCTGTTAGAAGACCGGTTTCTGAGTTGTGGCCTCGAGGGTAAGCTCGACCGATGAGGGTAAGGAATGACAAAGATATTGATACTTAATTTGAAGGGCATGAATCCTTTATAGGCTTTAGGATTTGGTCTCTGCTTAGAAACTATTGGCCATGAAATGGAGAGGCTCACAGCAGCAACGGGATGCTTTCTAATTCTTTTAGAACCATAGAATGTTAGAGATGGAAGGGACCAGAGACGCCATCATCTTTTTTTTTTTTTTTTTTACCAGGGGTTCTCAGTCTATTGCTCTTGGAAGAGTTAAGCAGATGGCTTACGTGCACTTTTGGTGGAGAGTCAATACTTTGTATCTTTTTTTTTTTTTTTTTAAACTTGTGGTAGGGAAGGATGTCTTCAAGTTCCAGCAGGTTTTAACAATCTCATTTTTTACAGATAGGGAATTAGAAGTCCAGAGAAGACTAGTGACTTGCCCAAAGCCACCCAGTTAGCTGGTTCTAATTCCTATTCCTGTGCTCTCTCCATTACACCACTCTTGGAAATCTCTGCAGTGCTGAAAGACTTCCTGTGCTCTGCCTGACTTCCTGTGGCAGGGAAGGAGCTGTACTTAAAAGCCTGGCATGTTTGCTGTATGCCTCTTGTCTCCTTTTCAGAATCCACCCTGTTATGTTACCTCTGTTGATTTGGGTAAAAGGAACTCCCTGGGTGTTTATTTTTGAATTCTTTTCCTTGCTGGCTTCTGTTTCCCTTAGAAGAAGTCTGTTAGGCAGAGGGATTGTGAGTTCAATCTCAGAGCCAGAGAAGAATGGGGAGACTTAAAGTGAGCTGGGTTAGCACTGGATGGTAAAGGACCACCCACTAGAGATGCTGATGGGCGTGTTCGCTTGGAGTGAGCACATATCTGAGTACATGTGTGATTTTTTTTTTTTTTTTAAACCTGTGTCAGGCTTAGTTAATAGTGAGTTCTCTTTTCTTTCCCTTCTGCCAGGGCCTGTTATTTGCTGACTGCCTTCACATTGGCTAAGGATAGAGATACTTGGAAATGGAGTAGTGCATGGGGACTTTGGGATGTGCAGAGGAAGGAGTGAATTAGGTCCTTAGGGTGCAATTGGATAACTTAGACATATCCCACAGAGAATTATTTTACTCTGTATTTATGGGTAGTCTTTACTTTTCCTTTTTTACAGTCATAGGATCGTAGGTTTTATTTATTTATTTATGTATGTATGTATGTATGTATGTATGTATGTATGTTTTTGAGACAGGTTCTTACTTGTTGCCCAGATTGGTCTTGAACTCATTGTGGTAGTTGAGGATGACCTTGAACTCCTGGACTCCTGATTTTCCTGCTTGTACCTACCTTCCCAGTAGATTGCTGAGATTATGGGCATGCACTACCATGCCCAACTCATTATAGTAGTTCTCCTATGCCAGGTCACACAGGTGACATCATAATTGATTTAGTCCTCTGTTTTCAGCTAGCTGTATTATCCTGGGGAAAACCCATGTTTGGGACCTCTGTTTTCTTATTTAGAAAAGTGTTTGTATAAAACAATTTCTAGGTTGCCTTCTTAAAACCTTAAGCTAAGTTCCCTTTCCTAACTGTGCGTCTGACCTGGGTAAAGAGACAAATGAATGACAGTTTAAACAAACAAACAAAAAAACCTGTGGATGTTGAATACTTCTTTAACTAATGTTTTTCAAGCAGCTGTGACTCTCTTAGGCACTTTTTTTTTTTTTTTTTTTTTGAGACAGGATCTCTATTTAGTCCTGTCTTGGAACTTGCTATGTAGACCAGGCTAACTTTGAATTTACAGAGCTCTGCCTCTGGTGGTGTTTAGGCACTGTTTTAACCCTCGGGTATATATAAAGGAACCCTACTTTTTTGATTATTTTATGGAAAGAGACAAATCAGCAGTTTTTGTTAGCATGTGAGAAAATTAAGCAGGGAAAGGGATAGAGAACCTTAGAGGTGGCTCAGGAAGGTCTCTCTGTAGGTGACCTTTGAAGTGAAGATGTGGGTCATTCAGAGCTTTTAGGGAAGATTCAGGCTATTCAGTGGTTTAGGAAAGAGGAACCCAGAGAGCTGAAGCATTGGGAGAGAAGCCGCTTGGTGTGCTGACCGGGAGGCCAGAGTAGCTGGGGCAGAATGTGCATGGGTCTTCCCAGGAGATAACATCAGCACTTTAGAAGAGCCTGGAGGCTCTAAGAAGCTAGCTTATCTTCATATAGCATTTTACGGATTTGAAGGCAGCTGGGGTTTTTTCTGAAGTCAGAGCTGGGCCCTTGAAGACTTCTGACAGCATAATTGGCACTAGTTAGACTCTGCCTTTGCCTCCTGGTGTATTTATCTGTACTTATGCTTCATCTTTTATTGTTATTAGAGGCTTTATTGTGCCTACTTCCTTAGACTGTAAGCTTCTACAAGGAAGAAACTGTATTTCCTTTGTTTATTCTTCATAATACCTGGGTTTATAATAAATGTTCAATGTCTATTAAATTGAAGCTTAAATTTACCACTTACAAATAACCCAGGGATTAAAATAATCATGAGATTCCTGAGTGAAGGAAATATAACAGAATTACTCAGTACCTTAGAGTGCAAAGAATTAATCTTTTTTTTTTTTTTTTTTTTTTTTAACAGAATGCTGTAGTTGATTTTTTAATGCCCAAAGACTACTTACTAAATGGAACTACAACCCTAAACTTAAGTTCCAAGGCTGAGTTTTAGTTGGGTCACTAAACTTTTTACTTCATCCTTTATCATCCTTCTAAAGTAGAGTCCTGGGGCTCCAGAGAGTTTGGGCTCAGAAGGAACCTGGGGGAGAGAGGAAGGCTTAGTGCTCTTTAGAACAGTACACAGAAGCCTCATGAGGGGAGAAGAAGCCTGAGGGAGAGTAGAGAAGCAGAGAAATCTGGACTGTGGAGTTGGAGGGAAAAGATGGAGTCAGTGTCAAAACTGAAGCATGGGTTGAGAAGTGTAACTGTTAAATATGGAGCTTGGAAACAGTTACTGTAAGTGCCACGTGTGTAGATGTTAGCCAGTCACCTCACTTTCAGCACGGCTGATGTGCGTCACATGGAGGTTCAACCACACACACCAAGGGATGCTTTCAGTCAGCCTTTTAGGGATTGCAAACAATTTAATTATCAAAACCTGTGTTTTTGGGTAGCCTTCTAGGAATTGGGCTGCTTTGTAAGGTGAGCTTTAATTATTACTGAGAACCTTCAGTAAAAGTCTTTTTGGCAGTGAAAGGTTGATATGTGATGATTTTGTGGCCCGGTAACTGTTTCTGACCAGTCATCAATCCACAGCAGCCAAGTGAGTTCAGCACTGTGAACAAGTGTGTACATGTACTTGTGTCTTAGTGTGTAAACCCATACATGGCTGGGGAGTGAACATAGGGTCTCATGCTTGCTTGGTGATTACCCTACCACTGAGCTCCACCTGTAGTCTGTGAGAGTGTTGTTTTTTTCAGTACTGGAGATTCAAACCCTTGAGCATGCTAGGCAAGTATTTTACCACTGAGCTCTATTCCCAGCCCTGTTTTCACTCTACATTTTGATTTGTATTTTACTACTTTGCCTGGGCTGGCCTTGAACTTTCCCTATGGCGTAGGCAGGCCTGCTGTCCCAGTCAGCCTCCTGAGTAGCTAGGATTATAGATTTTGGCTGTCAGGTGTAGCTCATTTTCAGTGACTCCAATAGGGAAGCTCTTCCTGGTCTTAGGGAAGGGCTTCTGTGTGTGAATGCGGTATCTGTTTGCACATCTGTTTGCGGTATCTTCCTATTTTCGCATTTCTGGGTTGATCTCCTTCTCGGTAGTTATCTATTTGGACCCTCATTTGTGTTTTTGGTTCTGAAGCTGGGTGTTGTGCTACTCTCAGTAAAGTTACTCAACAGTGTGCTTTCCCTACAAGTAATTTCAAGGACAGTATCTCACTTAAATGACAAACCTGATTTCTCTCTGACTCATTTCTCTCAGGCTGCTAAATAACAGATATATCTCATAGCTTTGAAAGATCATGATGGTGCCAGGATGTCTGGGACTTGGTGAGGGTCTGCTTCTTGGCTTGCAAATATTACCCTCCGGCTATGTGCTGAAGTGGCCTTTGCTGAGTGCATCAGTGGTACAGAGAGTGAGAGCTATGTAATCCTGTTTATCTCAGTGGCCCCACCCTCACGACTTCATCGAATCCTCATATCTTCCAAAGACTATCTCCAAATATTGTCTCACTGGGAGCTAGGGCGTCCACTGAAAAAAATTTTCACCCCTGAGACAGAGTTTCTCTGTGCAGTCCTGGCTGTCCTGGACTCACTCTGTAGACCAGGCTGACCTCAAACTCTTAAGAGATCTACCTACCTGCCTCTCCCTTTTGAG